ATGGTGGTCAATCAGTTAAGCCAGCAATCTGACACGTCTTCGAAATGAAGAGCAATGAATCGAGACTTTTAATTAGTATATAACTGAGGGTGTAGAGCTTTCAAAGAAAAAGGAGAATCCGAAGTTTTATTTACGCATAGCAAATTTCTTGTAGGAAGGAGGAGCGCCCGGCGAAGCCGGGCGAACCCATAAGAAGGAGGGAAGCCCGGCGTTAGCCGGGCGGCCCGACTGGTCATTACATATACTCGGACGGCTAAATTTAAGAGTCTTCAGAAGCCTTCCCACTTTGGATACTCTGGAGCTGGTGTTTTCGCATGCGTGATATCGCGAGAGCTGAGGCAGTTACTATTAGCTTTAAAGTTTATAGAGCTATGCTGAGATGCAACTATGAACGAGAAGAGAAAAGAGCAGAAGTTCTACGCAGTACGTTTTTTGGAGCAGTTTAGGCATCTTGACGAGTAATGGAGATCTCTATTCCGGTCTTTTCGAACTTTCCATCTCTCTATATATCAAGCGCTAACCTTGTACGTAGGTACGTCGGTTTGTGCGTCTGTCCACAAAAAGTCAGTAGGCGCAATGAGGATAGTGAAATGTCTCGTGGGCTAATGTTAACATAGTTGAGGAACATCCTACGAAGTAGGAAGCCGATTGGTAGTAATTATATTGATCTCCCTAACCAATACGAATCTCCGTGTGATGTGTTGCACGCGTTGCCGTGCGCAGCGCAACTGGAAGATCTATGAATGGATAAATCGTTGATTCAATTCTTCCATAGAAAATCCAATAAGCGATTGGGGAAAACTGTACATTTGCAGGGAGTGTATTGCTAGCCCTCTATCTTGAGGCTCTTGGTAAGAAAGTAGATGGAGGTAACAAAATTGACGCGGTCAAATTCCCGCAGTAGACGGGGTGGCACTTAGGTGGGTGAGTCTAAGATCACAAGTTCATCACTCTGTTAAGAAACGTTCTGAAAGTGGCTAGAGGTCATAGAAGAATTTTGGTCAAATCCAGGCAGGCGGGACCGGGAAAAGTGGTCAGAGGTGACAAAAAAGTGGTTGAACTCCCGTGCTAACATTAACAATTCGTAACTCCATTTAAACGCTCAAGAAAGCGGAGAAAATGGTTAGAGGTAGCTAGAAGAAGAATGGTTTATACATTGTAGAAGGGTCTGCATTAGGGTTGATGGGGCTATGTTCAACCAAAAGAAATTTTGCTCAAACGAAGTATATCGGGTGGATGCTTCAAAGCAGTTTCAGTGCCCAAATCTAGATAGAACTATCTCACTCTGATAGATCAAACATTCCGCTGATAACTCCATCGTGGATGAGCTGTCGTTGATAAATCATATACACGTTAGCCTTCATAGCCCAACTGGTTGGTTACATTACATTACATGTTCACACGACGCACTCTTTATATAATACGCCCACGCCTTTGGCACGTGCCATAATGCCGTGCCCAAACACACGCTCCTGTAGCTCGTCGTCGTCGTCGTCAACCCACTCCTTCAAAATTTTCGATAATTATCTGCTCGCCCGTCCCTCGTCTCCATCCATTTTCAACAACAAAACAGAAAGGGGTCCCGAGTCAGGTTTGAGATCGGCGCACACATGCTCACCAAACTCCGTCTAGGTGCTGTGATCAACAGCCAACCAACTTCCACCATCGATCAACCTTTATGTCCGCAGTCAATCTTCGGCAACTGGATGAAACTAAGAATGAGATGGAAGGCGGTGCCGATCAACCTAAACATTTCGCAGCGTAGAGAAAACATGTGATTCACTTCGCTATAAGTGCTCTTCCTTGTTAGGGGTAGTTTTTAGACGATTGCTTCAGTTGAAAAAGCTCACCGTCAAGAACGACCGTGAGGATTTGAGTTTTACGTAACTACGTCCCTCCCGCATCTCTTGTTGACTAGCTGCCCTTCAAGTGTGGGCCAATTTTTAAATTCAGTAGTGATGTTAGAGTTCCTCCATGTTAGACAGGAGCATATGAGAAGTATGGAATAGTAATCCAGCACTCAATCATCAACAAAGTAGTATACGACTCTACTTCCAATCAAAAGTTCATGTGTGACAGCTTCATTACTATTACAGTTCTTCGGCTAACAATGAGATATGTTTAACTTATGACTTCTAAAACACTTAACAGCCCTTCATAAAGTCACATAACTTCGCGTCTTAGACGGAAAATAATTTGCATGTTCAAACAATAGCAACAGATTATTCCATATGTACAACTCAAAAGTTTCGCCGTTATTAGTTGCCATTGACGTGCGTATGCCACGTTCTAATCCTTGACATTTGAAGAAAAGCTCACGTGCATTCGCTCGCTTGCAGCAGAGAAATCGGTCTTATCACTAACCTTTCCACTTTATATAGGTGAGATGCAGTGATCAGCGAAATAGCCATTCTTTTACGCTGCAGCGTCAGCACTTTCTTCCACTTATCCTCTTTTTCCAAGCGACTTGTCACCTACCAATGGCAAAACATTGAACCAACATTTTTCTCAGCAATTCGTTTTACAGGGCCAGGATCGTGTATGGGAGTAACGTCAGCCAACAGAGCTTCGTGCTAATCGATCATCGCCCACATTGAGTTAGTTGCAGCACACAGAAGGTAACTGTATGCTTGTTTTCAAACTTCCAAGAACTTGATGTGTCGTTTCGATGAAAGAAGTGTGCCTTGTTCTCTGTTCCAGCTTATTCCGCTGAGTTGATGTCATATTTCACATGCAGAACGAGACATATACGTGACGTACACAAACTGACACACTCCATCAATGTAATGCCTACCTTGGTATTCCGTACAATGGCACCATACGGAAGCACGCAACCACGGCGCGTTTTCGCTGCGTGGAAACCATTTTTTTCCAGGCCTGTGAAAGCAGCTGCTGCGGATGCTCCGTCTAAAACACATGGCAGCATCAACATCAATCACACAAAACCCAAACTTATGTGCCTTTGGCGTCACATTCTATCGCGCTTCTCTAGATGTAGCAGCTAGTTCAATTTGTGTGCTATAGTTATACCGCAATGAACCCTATGCTGATCTGAAATACGAAGAGTAGGAAGCGAACGCATCCCGATCCCTACCAAACCCTGTCACAAAAGGAAATATAATAAGGACCAACGATTGTGTCGCATCTTCTATTGAATTCAACAGAGATTTACTCTTGTCGATCAATTACGCCATCAACCATAATTTACTGTAAGGTAATGCGCAATAAGGTGATCCAAGAAAAGGTTCTGCATGCCGACCATGTTTTGAAAGCTCTCAGAGTTCTGTGGAGATTCACCGCAAGAAATGGCCATAAAACAATGATTTTGGTCACACTAGAAAATTCAGGTGAACTAATGTCAGCCACGGAAACGCATTCGTGCTCAATAAGCAGGATTATCCCTAAATATTAAATACCCAGCTACAGCCGAATGCAAAATAACATGCATATCCTTAATATCATATAGTGCAGGGGAAAAAGACTTCAGTCAGCTACTGGGTATTTTGCGTTATAATTAACCGAAGCATCTTCAATCCACCCCTTTGCAAGAACTTTCCGATGCCAAATTCCTGTTGACTTCAAAATGAAGCTAGCTGAAGGAAGGCCTTGTGTAGTTTTTTTTCAATGAGTAAAGAATTGAACCTGTTCAATTATCTGATAGTGAGAGGTGGGAGGGGAGAGTTGATTCCTGTTCGGAAAATTTCTCACCTGACTTCATGGCTCAAGAGGAAACACAGCAACAAATGTTAGTAGCGATATGAACTCAGAGTATTAGTGCGTGAATCTGTTAAATGAGATTAAAGTGGTTTGAGCATGAAAACAACTAGATCAGCAACAGGGACTTTGCCAGGAAACGGATGAGCCTGACACAAACTGAAAACGGTGTGCCATCAAGAGGAGCTATTATTCGTGCCACTCTATGAAGTCGCCTGCCTTGCACCATTGTTCGCATTACAAGGTGAAAACAAAAAAAACTGCTATGTGAGTAGAGCACTGGTGAAATAAACCAAACGCTCGTGTCTTTCGGCGCTTTGCTTTCTACATATTATGGCTAGCTAAAGCAAATGGTTAGTTACTAAATACTGACCCTATTGAAGTTAGCTGTGAATGAATTTGAGGGATCTATACACAACGAAGGGATTAGGAATCTAAATGAGGAAGCAGTTGCTCGTCGAACAAGTTTTAAGACTGACTGTTGAAGTACTTTGCAATAAAAACAGCTTCGATGGTAACGCTTTGTGTTGATTAATCCTTCTAACACCATAGATCGTTAATGATAACCGTGAATGATGCGAATAATGTCTTTCAACCATTCTCTCTAAAGACCTATTTACCAGGAAATGAGAATTTTTTTATTGTGGAACTACAGGTGGAGATCCATGAATATCGATGGAGTTGGAAATGTTGTATACGAGTATGGAAATAATAACTGCTAACTGGTTTCCTCGAAAACGTTATGAACGCTCGAAACGTGCCCGAATATACAGGATCGGCCACAATTATAGCGACAAGACTTGCTGCAGTTAGCGTACATTCTATCGCGAACACAGCGCGCCAGTTTTATGGATTTTTCAATTTCATCATTTTTTCTAACTCCTGTTGAAATTTGGTCAAATTTGGTCTATTCATAGTGAAACGGTGAAGCCTTCTCCTGATCGCTCCGCTATCGTTCGTCTGCACAAAGCCGGCCGCCCGCCCGCCACGATCGCTAAGCACCTCGGCATCCACCGCAGCGTCGTGTATTGCCCAGTTCAACGTTATCGAGACCTTGGTGGACTCCAAGACCGTCGAAGAAGCGGAAGACCTCGTACTGCTCGCACGCCGAAGGTAGTCGCGGCCGACAGAAAGCAGATAGCAAGTAACGCGACTCGGAGCATCTCGACGATGGCTCGCGACATGGGAATCTCGCGGAATTCAATGGAAAGGGTCGCCCACGAAGACCTTAAGATGTACTTCTACCTTACCCGGAAAGCTGCTATCCTCAGCGCCTCGAATCAGCAGGCGCGATCAAGAAGTGCCGACAGCTTTTGCTTCGGACGCGCAACAAGGGCCACCATTCGATCGTCTTTTCGGATGAGAAGCTCTTCACCGTCGAGCAGCAGTTCAACGCTCAGAACGTCAGAGTGATCGCAAGGAATGCCGAGGTAGCCGACAAGAAGGGAAGAGTCGTTCACCGGGCCGCACACCCTGCCCAAGTCATGGTTTGGGCAGGGGTGTGCGCCTAGGGAAGAGGCCATTGATATTTGTTGACCCCGGCGTCAAAATCGACAAAGATTACTACCTCATCACGATTTTGAAAATGCTCCACTCCCGTGAGCGAATACCCACTTCAACGGCCGCCCGTGGACATTCCAGCAAGGTTCGGCGTCCGCCCACAAGGCCAAGGTCGTCCAAGCGCGGTGCAAGAGCGAACTCCCCGACTTCATCTCGGCAGAAGAGTGGCCGGTGTCGTGAACCCACTGGACTATAACTTGTGGTCCTTCCTTGAGAGCAAGGTCTGCGCCACTCCCCACCCCAATTTGGATTTTCTGAAGACAGCGCTCATCCGAGAATGGGAAGAAATCGACGACGCACTCCTGCGTCCGGTCAACGACGCCTTTCCCAAGCGACTCCGCGCTGTCGTCCGCGCTAAAGGTGGCCGAATCGAGAAGTAACTTATGATTGTTAATGTACCAGTTGTTACT